TGCTCCAGGCTCCGTCCAGCCCGGCCTTGGACACTTCCAGGGACAGCCACGGCTCCTGAGGGAACAATTCCTGCAGCTCCTCAATCCCCATTCCCAGCTCCTCAATCCCCCATTCCCCGATCCTCAATCCCCATTCCCAGATCCTCAATCCCCATTCCCAGCTCCTCAATCCCCCATTCCTCGATCCTCAATCCCCATTCCCAGATCCTCAATCCCCATTCCCAGCTCCTCAATCCCCCATTCCCAGCTCCTCAATCCCCCATTCCCAACTCCTCAATCCCCATTCCCCGATCCTCAATCCCCCCATTCCCAGCTCCAACATTCCAAACCCCAAAATCCAGGAAATTGCACAGTGAGACAAGCAGAAGTGTCTCTGAACTCACTAATTCTTATCCCAGTCCTGATCCCATCTCCCTCTGAAATTCCTCATTACATTATAAAACTGTAACTTGATGCCCTGCTGAGAATTTTTAAATCTTCTCCACTCTCTTCTTAAAGTATATAAGCAAAAGCCCCATCACTTAATGAAGTGTAAAACTAATTATTATGAAATAAAACTAGCTGCTCACCAAGTGGAAAACCAGCCCATTTCCATGTCCTATTTTCCTTTGCAACGCGTTTCCCCCCCCTGCTCTGCAAATGTAAAAATAAATATTCCTCCCAGCAGCGTGCTGCCAGGAGGCTGCAGCCCCCCAATGGAAACCTGCACAATTTAATGGCCCTTAAATGCTCAACATCTTTTGCTCTTCCTGTAAAATCCATCCGACCTCATGGCTGGGCCAATTACATGTATGGCCTTGCTATTAAAAGGTAATTTTCTGAGTTGGCAGAGCAACACGGGCACGGGATGACAAAAGCAGTGAGCTCCAACTCCCCAGCACGCCCAGCCATCTCCTCAAGACAAAAAAAAAAAGGCAAAATTCCCTTTCCAGAGAGCTGGGAGACAACAGAACCTGCTGCCAGCTCCAGCCCAGGCTCCATCAGCTCGTTAATGGGGGGCTGCTGTTCCAGGGCACCTCTGGATCACCTCTGGATCACCTCTGGTGGCATTTGACTTTCTGGTGACCTCTCACTGTTCCATGGATGTGGAACCTTCCCCAAGGAGGAGACAGTTCATTCCCTGAGCCTGGAACACTTCCCCATTTCCCCAGGATTTACACAACCCCTATTAAAGCTCAGAACTCTGCTGATATTTACCTTACAAAGAATTGACCACCACAATACAAACAAACAAACAAACAAAAAGAAAATAAAAAGAAGAAACCATTTTATTGATGTTTTAATATGGGAGAGATTTAGGAAAAAAACCAACCTAGAACTCCCTGGATAAGGAAACACAGTATCAAAATAGGCCAGTTAGTACAACAAAACAAATCCTCTCCAGTAAAGTTTCAAGTAATGTAATCATAAAGGATATTTGGCTAAAAAGTAACTCTTTACTCTGAGATGTTTTCTGTAATAATCCTCTAAGAAACTAAAGGAAAGCAGCAGCAGATCTGTTTTACTACAGACACGAATTTAGTAAATATATTAAAGATATTTCTATATAAAAACTGCCCTGCCCATCCAGCTCTGTCTGGAGCCTCCACGTGGCCTCTTCAATCCTACAAGACTCTGCCCAAAAAGGGAGGAAAAAAAAGGAGATAAACACAACTGTGGGCAGCTGGGGGAGCCCACACAGCACAAAGCAGAGAACTCTGATTTCAGCCCTCATTTCTCAGGAAAATGGAGAGGAAATTTGGCTTTTGTGCACCAGGATTGCCACATTCCCCTTCCACCGAGCAGGCTGAGGTCAGCACTCACTGGTGCCCCATTGAAACAGCCCCACTCCTCAGCAGGCTCATCTCCCAAGGGCTGCCCTTGGTAACAAATTCCATGGCTTGGTTTTTACACAAAACTTCCTTCTGGAAGCCACCCTTCAGTCAGAAACGAGGCCTCGTTTCCTGGGGAGATTGCAGCAATTAAAACCTCTCCTTTCATTAATCCTCACTGCTGGCACCTTCCCCCAGGAATAAACTGCAGCACATCGGGGGCAGCTCAGGGCTCCAGGAGCTGCTGTTTGAAAATCCAGCCCCTGGATTTTCACTGTGAGCTCCCAGCCTGAGGGGGAGTGGAATTCTGGCACTGGGACCCAGCTGCTGCTCCCCACTCACTGCAGCCCCACTCCAGCGCCCAGGAGTCAGGACTGAGGCATTCAGGAACAATTTGGGGGCAGAGAAGGGAGGGACTGGCAGTGTTTGGATGGAAAAACCTGATTTTTTTTTTTTTTTTTTAAGTCTTGTAGAAGCAAAGGCACTAAATCTTCAGCTTATACATTAAATAAAGGCTGTAACTTGGCCAGCCAAGTTACAAGAGACACCAAAACACTTTCCTGTGGGTGTCACTGCTCATCCTGCTCAGCCAGCGTGACAAATGAGCCACTTTCTCTTAATCATTAAGGGACATCCACAGCTACAACACTCAGCCACACTCCTCTGCAGTTTATTTTTAACCATCCCATGAGAGTTCAAGTTCAAGGATCAACTGGAGCTTCGAGGTGCAGGTCCTGCTTTAATAAGTGGTCAATCAGACATTAAAATAATTTCACCTCTATGTCATCATTTTGACAGTTTTGAAAGATGTTCTCATGAAAAAAAAATTGTCAGGCCTGAAACACCACAGCCCTGGTTTAGTGTTTTATGAAGAAAAAGCTTCAGCTTTGAGAGTTGTTTGTGTTGGGAGGCTGTAATTGCAGCTATCACCATCACTAATTAAATAAAATTAACAGGAGGGTTCTGAGTCCCACAGGTACAGGAGCAGCTCAGCAAACCAGGCCCTGCCTCATCCTGAGGATCTGCAACAGAGCAGCCTGGACATCTTCATCCATGTGACCCTGCAGGGAAAACACTGTCACTAACACTGTCACTAATATTGTCACACAAACACTGTCACTAACATTGAAACACTGTCACACACACACTGTCACACACACACTGTCACACACCCTGGGAACTCCCCCAACACGTCCCCAGCTCACCTGGACAGCGCTGAGCAGGTGAGTCCTGTACACTGAGATCACCTCCTGGTGCTGCTGCTTGGCATCCTGTGAGACACAGCAGGGACACAGCTGAGTCCTCACATCCCCAACATCTGCAGCCAACATCTGCAACATCTGCAGCCAACAACATCTGCAGCATCTGCCCTGTCCAGCCCTGGCTCTGGGCACTGTCAGACCAAGCAAGGCTGAATTTCCAGGCTCAAGTTTTATCCCCTCCCTCCACTGCTGTTTTTCTGGCAGGATCCCAGCCTGTGCTGAGCTGGAAGGGGCAGAGCCCAGCTCCTGGCCCTGCACGTTTGTTTCCTCAGCAGCATCAGCTCTTGGGCCAAACCAGCCCTTTCAGAACACTCTGCCTTGCAAGAATCAAGCCTGCAAAGCCTCTGGATTGCATTTCTGATGCATTCGTGAATCTGAGCAGGAGTGGAACTCACTTGGCTCACACACAGCTTTAATAACGAGCTGCCCTGAAGGCACAGACGTGTGTGCACAAAACCCCAGCCCTCAGGACGTGTCCCCTGCTCTGTCAGTGCTTCAGGACAAACAACACACTCAGGGCTTGCAGGAAAAGGAACTCAAAGCCATAAAGAAATTACCACCTCACCCTTGCGAGGTGAGAAAAAATACATGGCTGGGTTTCTGTAGGGAATGACTAAAGCTGAGCCTGCACTCACACATGGTCTTGGCAGGATTAGAGCAGAGCATCCCATAAGCACAAACTCTCCTGCTTTGCTCATATCCTTTTCATCTGGAAAAGCTGCCAAGTGGTGCAACTCAAACTGAAGAGGAAAGCAGGAAGATTTACAGAGATGGAAGAACTCAGGGGGAGAAAAAAAAATAAAAAACACAACAAAAAACCACCAGAATAATGGCCAGTGCACTTGTGCAGTGTGAGGCTGCAGCCCCAGCCCCTCTCCAGCAGGCACATCCACGTTTCCCCTGTTTACACAAGGAATGAAGCAATGCTACTGCACATCACACAGCACCTTGTGTGAGCAGCACTTACAGCCAGCTGCTGCTGGAGTGTTTTCACTTGGCCCTGGAGCAGTTCCACCTGCTGGCTGTGCCTCTTGGAGGGGATCCCAGTGCTGTAGGTCAGCTGGGACAGCCCATTGAGAGCCTGCTTCAGGCGCTCCACGTCGTTCAGCAGCTCTGTTATCTGCAAGGGAAAGGCCACAGGAAACACCATTTAAAGGAGTCAGCAAGGCAGGAGCCTCCCTGAATTCTTCAGAGAGAGATCAGAGGGCAGGGATTGGGTTAAAGCCTCGGGATGGATTGCAGGATGTTGAGCTGCTCACACGTAAGGCAGAGGTGAAAGTTTAGGTTTTAGCATGAGGTGAGTAGATGGAATGAGTAAGTGAGTAGATGGAGTGAGGAGTGAGTAGATAAAATGAGTTTTAAGTGCTTTTAGTGAGTAAGGGTCTCAGATGCCAGAGGAGCAGTGCATGTTCTAGTGAAGGCTGAAAACCACAGTCCTAGATACCAGTGTTTCCTTCAAGGCTGCAAGAACCTGGCTTCAGACATAACAGAGTTAGAGTTAAAAATATTACTGACATTTTTCAGTCAGAACAAGACAGGCCATGAACATAGTTTATATTTATACATAGCCTGGTGTGCTAAGAAACTGAAATTCTAACAGGTAAAGGAGTGGTGGTTTGAGTTTGTGCCTTAGCTAGTTGGGAAGTTTCTATATGAGAACATGCATTGGGGAGAGCTGCTGCTTTTTGCCACTTGCTTTTTATGCCACTGCATTTTGCCATTGCTTTTGAGCCTGATGTGCTTCTGCAATAAACAGCTTTATAGCAACTATTAACTGCTTGGTTCTTTGAAGGAAATAACCTGACATTTGGGTGCCCAAGAGCACCCAGAGGCTCTGACCCCACAGATGGTTTCACTTCAGGCTGGTCTTTATTTCTCTCCAGTCTGAGGAAGCCCAGCAGGCACTGAGGGGTCTCCTGCTAAGAGAGGATTTGGCTTTCCTGACATGCTGGCTCCCCTCGTGCTCCCTGGCACTGGGGTGTGTCAGGTCCTGACCCTGCAGGGCAGCAGGGACACAAGGGACTGAAAAAGGGGAGATCTCAGGATATTCCAGGTGTAACTTCCAGGAGAGCAGTGGATCTTTGGAAGGCAAGTCAGACATGCCCAACAAGCACAGCTCAGTGGAAGGAGGGGTTGATATCCCCACAAGTCTGAAGCTTTTACAGGATTTAAACACTACACCATGCCCAGAACATGTAAGAGACTGGAAAAACTTTGCATAAAGCAAAATCAGGACTTGAGCTGCTTTGGGCCAGCCCTGAGCACGTAAAGCTCAGCACAAACCCCACACCTCACCTTGTTGTCCTTGGCTTCCACCTGCTTTGCAGACTCCTGGATCCTCTTCTGCAGCTCCAGAATGGTTGTGAGTGATTTGTCACACCTCTCCTTCTGGTCCTTGATCTCCTGCTCGATGCTGCAGCTCCTCAGCTGCAGCAGCTCCTTCTCATCCTTGAGGCTCAGCTCGCTCCTCCTGGCCTGCACAGCCTCCTCACAGGCCTGCTCGTACTTCTGCCTCATGCTGCCCAAGTTGCCAGCCATGCTGCTCACCTGGGCCTCCAGGGCACTCTTCATGGAGCTGTACTCTGCCACGGCCAGCACCTGCTGCCTCTGCAGCTCTGCCACAGCCTGCTGGCTCAGCTGCAGCTCCTCCTGCAGCCTCTGCACCTCCTGGCTCCTGGCTCTGCTTTCTGCCTCCTTCTCCTCCAGGCTGCATCTGATGGCTGTGATTTCCCCTTCCAGCCCTTCCTTCAGCTGGGTGTGTTCCAGCAGAGGCACCGAGGATTCCTTCAGCCCAGCCAGCTCCTGCTGCAGCTCCTGGATCCGGAGCATCTCTTCACCGTGGAGCTCCTCCTTCCTGCTCAGCGCCTCCTGCAGCTCCTGCACGGTGCGACCCAGAGCCTCGCCCAGAGCCTCCACGTGCCCTGCCAGGACCTGCTGAGCCACAGCCTCACCCTGCAGCTCCTGCAGCTCCTGCTGGCCCCTGTGCTTCCTCAGCAGAGCCCTCAGCTGCTGGTTGAGCTCCTCCATGGTGCGGGCACACAGCCGCTCCAGCTCGTGCGATTTCTCTGCCAGGACCTGGTTCTGCTGCAGGTCCTTCTGGATGGACACGACGCCACTCCTGAGCTGCTCGTTCTCCTCCCTGCACCTCTGGGCTTCCTCCTGGCTCTGCCTGCACCTCTGCTGCTGCTCCTGCAGCTGTGCCCTCAGCTCCTTCACGGTGCTCTCGAACCTCAGCTCTCTGTCCTCAAAGGAGGCCACCGGGGCGTATTTGGACTTGATGCACTCCTGAATCGTGTCCAGCTCCTTCTTCTGGGCTTCAATTTCTGCATGCAGCTGTGAGATTTCATCCTGCCCCCTCTCATGCTCAGCCCTGATGGCAGCATTGCTCTCCTGCAGCTCCTGCACGCTTTTATTTAAAGTATTCACCGTGGTTTCGTGATCTTTTAGACTTATATACTCTGTCTTTAATTGGTTCTGTAAGACTTTCACCTGATTTTTTAAAGCTCCATTTTCTTCAGTTACCTTCAGGAACTCTTGCTTGATCTCTCCAATTTTGCCCTTCAGATCTGCCAGCTCGCCATTGGTTTTTTCCAGGCTGCTGTTCAGGACAGTTTTAACCTCTTCGTGTGTGGTGGCCAGCACGTACTGATCCCTCAGGCTCTCCCTCAACCCCACGTTCTCAGCCTCCAGCTTGCCCACTTTTGCTTGCTCCTCATCACATTTCTTCTGAAGCTCAGCAAGCTGCTTTTCAAGCTCAATCCCATTCGATTTTAAAGCTTCCACCTCCTCCTTGTGCTGCTCTGGAGACAGGTACACGGCTTGCAAGTGCCTGATATTCTCATTTAAGCTGTTCTTCTCTGCCAGCAACTTCTCAGCTTCTGCTTTGCTTTCATTGTACTTCTTTGTTATTTCAAAAAGCTTTTTTGTCAGGTCACCCACAGCCAGATCGCTTGTTTTCTTCAGCTCCTCATGAATTTTTAAAGGCACATTCTGGCTTTTAATTTCAGTTTTTAGCGTTTGGACTTGCTGCTTCAGCACCTTGTTATCAGCCTGCAATCTTTCAAGCTCCTTCTGCAGAGCCTCGTTCCTCTGTGACAGCTCAGAAATCGCCTTCCCCAGCTCCTCCTTGCTCTGCTCAAACCCTCTCCTCATCTGCTCGTGCTCCTCTGGCCTCACCCGCTGGGACAGCTGAGCTCTCTGACTCTCACACTCCCTCTGCAAAAGCGCCACCTCTGCCTGCAGCCTCTCCCTCTGCCCTTCCAGCTCTGCCACCCTCCTCGCTTTCTCACTCACCTCGTTCGACAGCAAACCCTTCATGTTCTCGAACCTCTCTGTGCTCACCGACTGGGCCAGTTTGGCTGCAGTCTCCCTGAGCTGCCCTTGCAGCTCTGTCACATCCCTGCCCCTTTCCTCCCTCTCCATCTCCGACTTCTCAAGCTCCTTCTGCAACCTCTTGTTTTCCTCCACCAGCCTCCCCTCGTCCCTCTGGAACTCTGCCACCAGCAATTCGTTCTGCTTGATCTGGTTCCTGAGTTTCCCCACCTCAGCAGAGGCTCCCTCGTATTTGGTTTTCATCTCCTGGAGCTGCTCCTTGAGCTCCTCCATCACCTTGGAGCTCCCCGAGGCCACCTCGCTGGCCAGGTGCTCCTTGAGGGCGAGGAAGTGGCTCTGCATCTGCTTCACTTTGCCCTCCGAGTCAAACATTCTTTTCTGGACATCCTTCAGAGCATCCTCCAGCTGCCTGACCTGCCCATCACACTCTGCCTTGGTCCTCTGGCACTCTGAGGCCAGAGCTTTGCACTCGGAGCATTTCAGGGACAGCTCCCTCTGCAGCTTGCTGATCTCCTCCTTGGCTGCCCCAAAGCAGCTCCTCACGCTCTCCAGTTCCTTCTTTAAAGTCTCCTTCTCCGAGCTGGGGCACTGGGTAGGCAGGGAGAGCTCCAGGGGCCTCAGCATTGACCTGGACTGGAGGGAAATTGGCACAAAAAATAGAAATTCACAGCTCTGACAGGTCACATACACGTGTTTATTACTTATTATTTAAGATGGGAACTGCCCCTATTTAATCTGAGAATTGCCACTACTTAATCTAGGAACTGCCCCTATAAAGGATGGGAATTGCCCCTATTTAATCTGGGAACTGTCTAAAATCCAGTTGATCTTACCATAACATATATAAGAGATTTCTTTCTTTTTCTTAAAATCACAGAGAGTTATTCTTGCCTCTATTGGAGAACAAGGATTTCAGCTTTTAACAGCAAAAATCTCAAATACAGCTGCACATTTACTGCTTCCCAGTCATGGGCAGGGACACCTCCCACTGTCCCAGGCTGCTCCAAGCCCTGTCCAGCCTGGCCTGGGACATTCCAGGGATCCAGGGGCATCCACAGCTGCTCTGGGAATTCCAGCCCAGCCCCTTCCACCCTTCCAGGGAACAATTCCCAATATCCCATCTAAACCTGGGGGGGGGGTTGGGTATCATGAATTAATTCCACGTGCCTTGTTCTGCACTCATATTTAATCACTCATCTGCTAGAACAAATTTAATTTATGAAGATATTGCTGCTCTCCCTCATGTGTGTGAAAATGTTTTTACAAGGAATCAGAGCAGAGAATGTCATGGCTAGCAGACCCTTCCTGCTGGGAAAAGTGAGGAATGCACTAATTTGGAATTCAGGAAGGGTCTGGCTTGGAAGGGACCTTAAAGATCTTCTCATTCCACCCCAAGGGTCTGCTGGACCTTGCTTAAATCCAAATTGCTGCTTTAAAAGGTTGACAGCTATCAAAGAGAATTATCAGGGAATTATCATCCAGCAGGCAGGAAAATTAAATCTTCAAATATTAGCTGAATTTAAATTAGACAAACGTGATGGAGAGGAATCCCCAGTTTGCAGAGTGGGTAAAAGACGTGCAGGAGAGCTCCTGACAGACCCCGAGCTCCCAGCCCTGCCACAGACAGGACTCTAGAGGGCACCCACAGCTAAAAATAAACGCAGAAAAATCGAGAATTCCTCAAAACTCTGCCTTCAGAAGCAATGCTCAGTAAACACACATTTATAACACATTCAGCTTTCCCAGCACGACCATCTCAGGGGTAAAATATTTATTACCTGGGATTCCACTGCGAGGGCTTGGCCTTGTTTAAGTAATAAATCTTCTTTTCCTGGATTTCCAAAGCAAACAGTGTTTAGGCTCTGGTTAAGAACAGTAACACAATCACAAGAACACTGATTTTCCTGCCCAGCTTTATTCTGCTCACTGGGGTCACTCTGGCCTGAAGGCTGGTGTTTAAATATTTGTAATTAAAACAAGGCCCAGCTCCTTTTCCAGGACATTCCCAGTGCCTGGGACCCGGAGCTGTGGTGTCCTGGCAGCTCCTACAGCCCCAGCCCTGGCATTTCAGAGCAGCCAGAGGGAGAAATGACCCCAAAACCCTTTTAAATCCCTCATTCCCACAGCCCACCCTGCACAGCAAGCTTCAACAATTGGCTGTACTCACTGCTTCCAAAGTTACCTCCAGACCCTGCAGAGTCACCCTAAAAATCAAACAGCAGGAGACAAAAATAAAGCTGAAAATTCATTTCAAAAATTCAAAATTGGAAGTTTCTGTGTTAAAAACCAGGGCTGAAGGGGCAGGGAAAGCTTTTGCAATGAGAAAACCATTCCAGAGTTTCAGCAATTTAAAATGCTCCAGCATTTCCCACTGCAAATATCATTTGCTGTATCCCATTTCCAATCACTCAACATACCTCATAATATTTGAGTTTGGCTTTGAGAGCTTCAATTGTCCTCAAACTTTCCTCCTGCTGCTTTTCCTTGGTCGTCAGGATTTTCTTCAGCTCATCTTTCTGAAAGAGGAGGAGTGTCACAAAGGCACAGGACTGTAAGACCCCGGGTAACTTCTTTTAAAAGAATTTACACACAACTTCAACCAACATCAGCACCAAAAAAAAAAATCCCTGATTTTTCATTTCTGGAGTTCTTCAAGGCTGCTCCTCTACAGGAGGAGAATGAGCCAAGAATAAGCAGCAACATAACATAAATAATTTTTATTTGTTAGTCTTGCATTACTGGAAGTCACTACAGAGATGTTCAATATTATCAGATATCAGAATATCCTCAGTGTGCTCTAAAGGAGCCACGATTATTTGTAGATTATTTGTAGTAACAAATAAACTTCATCATCTGATCCAGAGCAAGAATTCTTCATTTTTAGGTAGTTTTTAAATTTAAAACTGCAGAGGAAATAAAGGGGAGTTGCTTCCCCAGGAACACCTGCAAGGTCACACATCCAACCTCGTTCTCAAACATCAGCTGCAAACATTTGCTCCTGCAAAAATTGCCAAAAAAAAAAACCCCAAAAATCCCCCCAAATCATTTTGTCAATGATGTTTAAAGGGCTCACACACAGTGAAAAATCCACCCCAGTTTCTAATGCTCCCTTTTCCAATTTCCATCCATTTCTATGGCTCTGCTTTCCATTTCTCCTGACAGGAGTTCAGGATAATCTGAATTATTCACATATTCAAGAGTCTGACAGAGCAATGTCTCTGGCAATTGGAATATCTCCTCTTTTCTGGCTCTCAGGCAGCAGAGTCCAGCTTTCCAAAAGCTTGCTGATTTGGGGGAGTTTGTTTATTAAAAAGTTTGTTTTAGAAAGGCAATGCTTCAAACAGCAGTTCAGACAAGTGACTGCAAGAAAAAAATATTCTTTCTATCCCTGGGCTGCATTTAGGAGAAGCTGCATAAATGCACCTCTAAAAAACATAGCAAAAAATCCCCCAAAAAATCCTCTTTATATTTGCTTTTTACTGGTGACATTCATACCTCCAACAAGAGGGAAACTTTTTAAAAATCAACATTTTAAATGTGGGTGAGAAACTTCTGTTGAAAACCTTTGGCTTTGTTTTCTTGCCAATTGAAGATTTATTTTTTGTTCCTCTTTCTGTGGTTCCAGTAAGAGCTGGGAAATCAGGTGCTGACAAAGCCCTGCCACACTGAAGATTGTGCTGGTTTGTAAAAGATTTTTAAAATTTTTACTTGCTGAGACTTGGGAAGTTTTTTCTTGTACTGAGTTGCTTTTCTGTCTGTTTTCAGTAATTAAAAAAATAATATATAAAAAAATAGTTTAAAAAGTTTTATTCTAATTTTTTTTTCCTTCTAGTTTTTCTCTTTCTACCATTTAAAATGAAGCCAGTTTTACCTATCTCACAAAAAAAAAAAAATCTAATTAATAAACCAAAAGAGCAAAGGCTTTTCCAGCAGAAAATGAGTGTCACACATGGCAGCAATTGCTTTGATTTGCAGGGGATTTACCTCAGTGAGCTGCAGCTGCAGGACACTGACCCTGTCCAGCAGAACCCTCTGCTCCTCCTGAACCTCCCTCAAACGAGCCTGCAAATCCTGGTTCTCCAACTCCAGGTCCTGCAAAAGAAAATATAAAAAAAAAGTGGAGAAAAGGAGGAGAAAAGGAGGAGAAAAGGAGGAGAAAAGGAGGAGAAAAGGAGGAGAAAAGGAGGAGAAAAGGAGGAGAAAAGGAGGAGAAAAGGAGGAG